CCAGGCTGGCCTCAAACTCACAGAGATCCGTCTGCCTCTGCCTCCCAAGTGCTGGGATTAAAGGTGTGTGCCACCAACAACTGGCTTTGCCTTATTCATTGATATCTGATTGATTTCCCTTTTTGTTTTTATCATTCTTTTATGTCTAATTCAGTATTTCACATACATAATGCCTGAGTTACACACACCCTACACACACCCTATGGCCAGTGCTGAGGTCAAACCCAGGACCTTGCTTATGCTAGACAAGCCCTCTACCAGAGTCATCCTCAGCCCAAGATATACACATTAACATTGGCAGAGGAGTTTAGTTAAATATAGATAACATAATAGTATGCAAGATACATTTAAGTGACTTGTTTGATAAAAACACTTTAACCAATTACGTGTTTTTTTAATAAAGAAAAGATGAGTGCTATTTCTTCACAAATATTTTAGGTGAATTTAGATTTTATTTTATATGTATCTGTGCCCAAGTGCTTATTTAATACGTCCCCCTTGTGTTTGTTGACAGAACAAGTGAATTTTAATAGTAGCGTAAACAAAATATGATTAGGAAGCCAACTATAGAAGTTGTGTGTTTCAGCACTGTACACATACATTCTCTGAGTTTCAAGCTGTGTTGGATGGTCCGTGTTACATTTCTACTTACAAGCAGTTATCGTTATGACTCAGACACTAATTTTAACCCCAGCCAACACCTTTGCATTGTGAGGTATTTACTCATAACTCATTAAATAGGCATAGCTTTTAGATTTCTTTATCTTCTGCATTATTCCCACTGAATTTTAAAATGCTAATAAAATTATGCTAACTTATTTTGTTAATTTTTATATAGGGCTAGAATAGAAAGTCAGAATGAAGAAAATTATGGTGGATTTTTTTTTTTAATTCATCTGTTTATTTTATATCCCGACCAAAGCCCATCCCCCCACCACAAGCTTCCCCTCCCAGTTTGTCTTCCTTCATCCCCCCCACCCCCCAATCCCCTCCTCTTCCATCTTCATCCAGGAATAATGTATTTTTAATAATAAAATGAAGTCTCTTTTCCCTCTTTTTTTGTCTTAAAGTATTTCACTTCTTTGCATAAGCAAGCATATGTTTACTAAGTTCTGTGTTCCATTTATGTCTGAATAGAGAGCCTAACTTAGCAACCTGCCTTCTACATGGCTGATATTTGTGATTTGGAAGATGCCTTTGCACCGGCTAAGATTATACATTCTTTGCCTGGAAGTTCATGAAGTAGAGGTATTTATACAGCTCACAGTTGAAACTTCACTGTGAGCACAATGCCAGGCGTTGGTGGCACACACCTTTAATACCAGCACTCGGGAGGCAGAGGCAGGCGGGTCGCTGTGAGTTCGAGACCCGCCTGGTCTACAAGAGCTAATTCCAGGACAGTCTCCAAAGCCACAAAGAAACCCTGTCTCGAAAAACCAAAAAAAAGTTTGAAAGAATTAAGGATTGACTTACCATCCTCTAAGCTAGTGGGTAGAAGTTAGTAGAATATGATTCCAGAACTCAGGAGAATTTCATTTGAACCTATTTTGCTCATAGCACAAGAAAAATAGTTTTCACAATGCAGTTAATGCGGGTTGTAAAAGACTAACCTTTTCAGCAAACCTGATATGTACAAAATTTAGATTCATAAATAGACTAATTTGGATATTCTTTAGTCTTGTGAGATGGATGATTCACCTCATGTTCTTTAAATGACATGGCATGACATTAAAAATATTATTTGCTATTCCAAATTTCAATTTTTCACTTAACATTTTTAGAATACTTGTACTGTGAACATGTCCAAGTAAGACAGACTGTCTCTGATATTTTGTATTCACATGGAGTTCGTAAATGTCTGTTTTGTGCAGGTTCTAGGTTAGGTACTGGGGACCTGAGTGGCCTGGTTCACATGTGCATCCCTGCTGCATCTGGAACCACTAAACGGGGCCTGTGGACCTTAGCTCTTGATAACTGTGTATGAAGTAGGGTGGCTTTCTCTGTCATCCGGGAGAAGAGTGACTGTCTTCGTGTGAGGGTTAATTGAGATACATAGCTTTATATTTGCCTATAGTAAAACATTTCAAGACCTCCCTGGTCACTCACACCTGTAACCCAGCCTAGGCTACAGGATAAGCCCCATCTCAAAACAAAAACTAAACAACAAGAAGAACTTAATGAATATTACCTTTTTGTTAGTAGTGATTCAAAAGTGGGGCTTAAGACTACACCAGAAACACTGGAACAGGTTTATTTGGTATTTTCATCTTTAGGCTGGGACAGGAAGTCATCGACTTTGTGTTATTTGAAGTCTTTCATTTATTCATGATGCACAGACATGTTTAAAGCATAGCAGAAAGCTATAAGTACATTTTTGTTTGTCTTAATTTAAAGTCGGGTGCTAGAATCACTGTGTGGGCTAGTTCCAGATAGAAGAGAATGTATGCTTAAGTCATGGCAACTGCAGTAAGTGTCCTTTACCACCTTACTTTAAAAAGACAAAGATGCTGATCAGGTTTTTGTAACATTTGCTTTTGAGAGAGAAATTGCACACTCATTGAAACAAAGCTGTGAGGGAAGCTTTGCACTTGGCATCAACATTTTGTAAGATACTTTGACTGAAGATCCTTGTAAATATTGTTAGAAAACTAAAATTTAAAACTAGATACTTGGTCCCCACAACACGACATTTAAGTACTTGAATCTGTAAATACAGTTCATTTGAATTTGCAAAGGCAGATTTCTAAAGACACATAAGGGTAACCATGTAGTCATATTTCTTGTAGACCATTGATTGCTGTAATTACTGTTAGGTCTTAAAGTTTGAGGACCTAAATCCACATATGACTTAATCACTTAAAGAGGTATATAAACATGCACCTGCTTCCTTTGATGGTTCATAACAACAGCAGTGACTTTGTTATGGATGCTAAATTCTCTCGTGAAGTCATGGGAAGCCTTTGCAGTGGCGAGATTTGTTCAGCCACATCTCCTATAACAGATTCTGTCGGTGTGTGTTTATTATCTGGAGTGAGATCTTGATAGAGAAAACCTGACTCAGACATGAAATCACTACCAGTTTTTTTCATTGCCAAATCCAAAGACAAGGAAAAGTCAGCTCATAGGCTGAGGAGGTGTGTAACAGCTGAGTAGCAGTCACTGGCAAAATTGTACAGTTTTGTTTTCCTGTTTTAATAGTCCCCTTTTTGTCCTTATTAAGCCCTTTAGAGCTCATTAAGAAAATTTGATACAGTAGGAAAAGCATTTTTTTCTAGCATCAGAGAAAATTATGTAGTATTTTAGTGTGAATTTTTGAAGAACTTGGTTTGCACAATAGCCTTTAAAGGGTTTCTTTTATAGTCTTTACAAGCAACTTTTACCTTAGAGCTTGTAAGTCAAAGACAGTTATAGTTAATAATCATTAATTAATATTGAACTTTATCCTCATTTTATATGTAACCAAAATGTTGGAATATTAAACTACTTAAGCTCAGCCAAGATAATCAGCAGTTTTTGTTGGTTTATTGTAATTAAGATTGAATTGATAGTTGTTACTATTAATGATTGCTTCTCTACCCCCTTTTCTTTCCTTTCTCTCCCACCCCCCTTATCTTTTTGAGATAATCGTCTCACCTAGTAACTCTGGTTGGCCTCAAGCTTGTGGTAATCCTCCTGCCTCAGCCTCCCAACTGCTGGGATTCAAGCATGAGTCCCCACTCCGAGCTTGTTTTTTTTTTTTTTAAGACAGCTTGTTCTTAGAAACCATAAGAGTGATGAAGGTGTTCTTTACAGAGTAAGTGGGCAAGGAGTACACTCACATTCAGCTAGATTAGTCCTTAAACAGTCATTCATAAAATAAGGTTTAAATTTTCTTTAAATATTAGCATAAAGTAGAAAATCAGCACAATTCTGTGGCTTTGATTTTAACATCAGCACAGGTTTTTGTTTTTTTTTTTTGTTTTTTTTTTATAACATAAAAGAAATGAAGTGGTAGTTGGGGTTGACCTTGTTGGGTTTTAGTATGAGTTTCTGAAGGACTTTTTACGTAATAGATTTTAAAACACCAGTAAAGTTGTCTTGTAAGAGTCTTGTTGAATAATATTTCTTTGATATTTTGAGCTTGAAAAATGAACAGATAACAGTGATTGTGAAAATGGATCCTTCCATTCTAACACCATGTACTCGGCTGGACCAGGCTACCCATGCCATGCTGGAGTGCAGTGTGCCGGGAAGTGCAGTTGTTCATTTCTGTCACTTGCAGACTGCACCAGTGCAGAGTGTCGTGCACAATCATCAAGTGGCACTATTTGTTTTTAAAGTGACATGTAACTTTTATTACAATCATTAATACAAGCAAAGAAGCTAGCCGTGATTTTATTATGTTTTATTGTTATCAAGCAGTTTCCTAGGAATTTTCAGCAAAATATCAATTTAGCTGTAATTCTAGTATGAAATACAAGAGCTGTAATAAAGCTTTTTGTGCCTGCTACTTAAAAAGTCAAATCTGTAGCTCAAATATGTTTTACAGTCCCGTTTTAATTCACTGCCACTCTGCTTTAGGTAGCTCTGTACATTTATTTTGCTCTCCATGTTTATTTTACCAGTTCAGCTTCTTTGTAGATTTTTGCTATACGTAGAAAGGATTTTTGAACTGTATGTTGTTAACATTTGCCATAGTGAATGATAGATGCAAGTACCCAAGACATTCTCATTGAAAAACAGCTTAAGGGGAAAAAAAAAAAAAACCAAATAGCAAAAGCATTGTCTTTATTTACAGTGTAGAAGACCACAGCTTCACCGTAGGTGGAAGTGTGATGGCAGAACACCCCAGAGAAGGACATCTTTAGTGATAGATTTACATACCGTTAGCTCACAGTACTTGATTAGCAGCCGGGCTCTGGGACAAGCTAGCTGGGCACGTTGTTTGGGACGCCTTTGATTCTGTGGCTTCCGAAGCTTGCTGGCTGCATGCTTGTTGTCTTTGTTCGTGAGACAGGTAATTACTTGATAAAATGAAGTGCATCACTGTGAACAATTGACCCTTTGGAGCAGTCCAGGCTGGTCAGCAGTCTAAAACCACACTTTAAAGCCATCATTATGGCCTCAAACTTAAGAGTTTCCAAGGTGCAGACAAAGGTGTTGTCTTCCTTTAGTACGAGTCGAGTGCCATTCTCAGACTTGATGAAGTATTTAAACTGGATGATATTTGATGACACAGAAAACTCCTCCGGAAACCCATCCAGCCTGCTTTTGGACACCAGGACAATGCGAGATTTTATTTTTGATATGAAATCAGGAGCATTACAGAAGATTCTCAGTCCTTGTGAACGATCATGGTTATCTGTTATTTCCAAGAAAGTAGTCTCTCGGGGTGTCAGCTGTTCTTTTTCCCACCTGGACTTCACTTCCTCTGCCAGCCCCTTGAGCTGGAAGAATTCTGCTTCTTGAGCAAGAAGTTGATTTTCTCGAAACCCTTCGGGCAATAGAAGTTCTCCATTTCGTAGGAAGTTTAGGACGTGCCTGAAGAGGAGTCCGTCCCTGTCTATGAAGTAATGGCCATCAGCATCAAATGGGCAGAGGATTTTCCCATTTACAACACCTTCAAGGAAAGTGTCTGGGTACTTGGTCAGTGTTTGCTTTTGAGTAATGTATAAATATCCACCAACGTTGAGGGTCATCAGCGTGGATTTGCAGTTCTTGCCTTGCTCAGCATCTTCCAGGCTGTTGTGCCTCCCTTCATACTCCCTTTCTTTTTCTCTTCTGATTATTTTACGCTCCATTTTCAAGATGCTATTTCAGCTTGCTATTTCTTCTTGGCTTGGAGAATTTTTTTCTTTCCTTTTAAAAAAGAAACACTACCACACAAGCACGCCTTTATTCCGTCCCAGCCTGGCGATGCAATGAAATGCTGGCAGCACCGCCTGCGCTGGCAGCTGGGTTTTGCAGTAGGTGGCGTGTCAGCTATGCTTGCAGGAGCTTTCTGGAGTAAGAGGAAAAGAGAATTTGCATTTAACTGTATCAGGGAAGGGATTTGTTGCAAAAGGATTTCTGTTCTTAGAGGAAATGAGACTCAGTACATTCTCCTTCCTCCTTCCTAGTTAAATTGCCATTCTGCTTTATTTCCCAAGTAAATGAGAATTGCTGTCCATTTCTAAAGGTCCAAGTCATAGTTTAGTCAGGCACGGCTAATACTGAGTTACATTGTTAGCTTTTGGAAAGTGATGTGTTGAAATCTAAGGTGAGAGAAACTACCCATATAGAATTTTCTCCTATAAAAGTCCACTGTTTTCAGTGATGTAGACCCAGACAAAAATAGGCTTACTGTTGTGACATTGCATTTGAATTTAGTTGAATTTGTGTGTGTTTTGGATTTGGGTCTCTTTGTTAAATGAGAAGAAATTTGCATAACTTCTTTTCACAAAAGGTTGTTTATTTACTTATTTTTTACTTCAGGATTTAAAAAATCATGTAGGCTGTCTCAGTAGTATTCATTCACATTTTGTTGGTTAAGATGTCCTATGGAAATTCATGAGCTTGTTTTGCCCTAAGCCTGCCTCAGTACTGAACAGTCTAGGGCTACAACAGGGGACACTCTAGCCATAAGCATGCATGTGTGTTGGGAAAACGGAGAAAGATAGAAATTCTAAATGCCTACTCTGATAGTAGTGTCATGGGCAAGTTAGGTTTTGTTTGTTCTTTCACAAAGAGTGGAAAAGTGTGAGTGGAATGCCTCCCTGGCCCTCTGTCCCTAGAATGCCTTCCAAAGCACTTTAGCATTCTGTGCTTATATTCCTAGAATCAAGGGCCTGGTGATGAAAATCTGGATATGTTTTCCAGTATAGATTACTTGAGCATCCTGTCTACTAAATGACCCAGGAACTCTGTTATCACTTATATTTCCATTGCAATAATGGTTATTTTTAAATTAACTGTGTCTTGTTAAAGGTATTAGAAGAGGGTCTCCTTTTAAAATGTCCAACTTCTACTTTCTGTAAACAGAGTTAGAGTTTTATTACATATTTTTAAAACTGTATATCCTTATAGTAGATAATGAATTTAACATTTAATACAAGGTTATCAAAAGCAAATTGAAATTGGACAAGAAAGCTGAGGCATCATCATTTTTCAGCTGAGTGATGAAGTTCAGCTTCTCTGCTCTACCAAAAATGAAATTGCATTCCAGGGAGCTTTTAGTTTTTTCCCTAGGATTTTGCAATTTACTTTGACAAAAGCCATAAACTAACATGTCCTTCTCAGCCCTGAAGCATTTTAGAAGAGTGTACACATGCTTGTACACATGAGAGAGAGAGAGAGAGAGAGAGAGAGAGAGAGAGAGAGAGAGAGAGAGAGAGAGAGAGAGAGAGAGACTTAGAGTCAAATCTTTCCGTGGTATGACTTATTTTAAAAACTGGATAATTGGGTGTGGGGTACAAGTTTGGAAATCAAGGAGTTCTTGTTATTGTAGGTAAATAACATCGGCAAGAGCATTACAGCTTCATAAATACTTAAAGTCCCTTTTTTATGAACTAACAGGCACCAGACTCAATGCAGTATGATCATACTTCAGGGATAGGCTTCCTGGTGTAGCTGTGCTTCCTTAGTCTGTCTGTAGAAGCCTTTATTGGGCAGCTTTGATGCTGTTTTTGCTAGAAAATGGGCTTCCATGGGGGTGGTGAGCAGGTAGGAGCACAGGCAGGTCTGTGATTTCTACCGAAAAGCTCACTTATGATTTCTGCTGCCAGAATTTCAACTCCACAGATGAGCACTGTTTCTTCCATCTTGCCTTCTGTGTTATTCTGTTTGTTTTTTGAAACAGAGTCTCCCGCTAGCCCCCCCTTCTTCAGCCTCTTCAGGGCTGGGGTTGCAGGTGTGAGACACGGGGTACCTAGCTTACAGCTTTACTCTGATACAGTCTGAGGACCAATCCACTGTGTGCCTCTTATACCCTGAGCACTTCCTCACTCTCGCTCCTGCACACCTGCTGTGTATGTGTTTGCTCGCCATGGCTGCCACGAGTATTGTGACTAAAGCCTTCTTGGTGTAGGACATGAATCCACAGGACTTTCCTTTTCTGTCTTGTCTGCCATCTTGCATCTTTAAAAAAGGAAGGTGGAATCCAGTAGATGCTACCTTTTCCATATTACTGCCATTTCAGCCAGATGCTTTCACTCGTGAAATTACAGGCCTCCTTTGATCATTGCTGCCTGTTGTGGTACACTTGCCAGCTTAACTTCTTGGGGACTTTTCTAACTGTATTATTTGTGATAGATGCTTGTTGTAGGTAGTCAGCTCTAAAACTATAAAGCAGTACTTGTGTAACAATACCAGAGACAAGCTGGGCAGTGGTGGCTCACGCCTTTAATCCCAGCATTCGGGAGGCAGAGGCAGGTGGATCTCTGAGTTTGAGACCAGCCTGGTCTACAAGAGCTAGTTCCAGGATAGGCTCTCAAAAAAAAAAAAAAAAAAAAAAAAAAAAAAAAAAAAAAATACCAGAGACAGTCTATGCCTCACCACAGGTACAAAGTGGTGGAATTAGTCAGTCCAGCGGTTCTATCACTAAAGCCTAAACTATACATCAAAGATTGGCTCCTGGGTGCCTTTAACTACCACCAGCTTAGAGGATTTCATCTAACTTTGTAGGCAGGAAGACATTGTGAAGAGTAGAGGCCCTTGTGTTAAAACCTGAGTGCTTCATAAGAGTTGGATTGGATCACACTTGATATGGTGGTATGTGCCCTTATTTATCCCTAGCACTCAAAAGTTGAGGCCAGAAGATCCTGAGTTCAAGGCCAGCCTGGGCTGCATTGTAAGGTCCTATCTCAAAATTTAAAAAATGGAAGAAAAGAAAGCTATAGAGACATATAACCTCTTAAACACTATAATCACAAATCTTACAAAAAGAACCTTTCAGCAACTTCGAGAATTTAAATGGGTCGTTGGTTGAAGCGTTTCCTATAGTTAAATAGGCCCAATGCCTAACCAAATTCTGGCAAGACTTCCCATTTGAGGTAATACTCATCTACTGTCTGTAGAAGGCCAAATTTATTCTAGGCTAATAATGGGAAGAATTCACATCTTTTCTACCAACTTTTAATGGGAGTGATTAACACGGGACATGTTATTATACATGCACACTCCATTTGTATGTTGATTGACAGATAGATACAAGGAGAGGCCAGTGCCCCTAAATTCAGCAGGTCCCTTTTTGGTGAGATGTAGACACTGTGTTTTAGGAAGCAGGATTGTCTCAGGAGCTTCCATTAATAGAAAGACATCCTGCCCCCACATTCTGCACCCCTGCCAGATCTTTTGGTTATTTTTGCACATTTGCTTGTATTCCTTATTCTTTGAAATGCTTGGTTCCCGTGACCTTAGAAAGAAAATTGAAAACAACCATAGCTGTCAATTTGTACTTGATCTGCTTGGTACCTCTCTCTCTGTGACTCCCACTCTCTGTTTCCAGCTTATTGATCCGTGCTTTGACTTCACTGTGCTTTCACAAGCCGAGTTTCTCTTTTTGACATGTGGCTTTTTCTTCATAGCCTCCTGTTAAAGCATTGGCTGTGAGAGGCATTCATACTGCTATTCCCTATGAATATTTTATGTTAGCCTTTTCGTGTATTAAAAAATGAAACACCACTGAATCAAGGTTTTTTTTTTTCTTTTTTTCATGAGAGTCTAGTCTGTTTGCATGTCAAAGTTTAGTTGCATTTTGAAATATAAAATTCACCGCATTGTGTACTTCTGGAACTTGACTCTTATTGACACAAATGCAGTGTTGGCTAAGTAGCCACAGCATCACACAGGCTATACAGAACCTTCCTGGAATTCACTGGACATCACCTCTGGCCAGAAGAGCACATGAATGTGTCATAGATACCTCATGAACACTCATACATGCTTTTGTGGTGCTTCTCCATGGAAGCCAAAGGGGCATGTAGCTAGTTTGGCAAATTGTTTAGCCTCCTTATAAGACTTCAGAAAACAGGAGTGTTTTATCAAAAGAACAATAAAAATGACAGACTGGCTGAGAAGTTCAAGTAAAATTCCATTTCACATTTTTTGCTTTTTGCTTACACAAGCAATCTTGACAACTTTTAAATCTTATTTATTCCTACTGTATACTTTGTAGATGAGTTGTTCAACAGAATTTATGTTTTATAAGTAGAAGTTAAGCTTTAAAATTATTTTAAATGAAGAGTTTGTTTTGTTTTAATGTTTATTTGTTTATTTGGTGTATGGTGTGTGTAGACATACAAGGCCCAGGAATCATATAGAGATCAGAGTGGGGAGTTGGTTTCTGTCCTGTGGATCCTGGGAATTGAACTCAGCTCATCAAGCTTAGTAGCAAGCACCACAACTGACTGAGCCATCTCACCAGCTATTTATTTGTTTGTAAGTGTAGCTACTTGAAATTTTTATTTTATGCAGAATAGCAAAGCATCACTGTAGGTCAGCTGTAGAGTTAGAATGTTATACAGAACTCATCTTTGTGGTTCTCTATGGTGAGGTAGAGTCTCACTGTTTCTTTGAGAAGTAGTTCTTTTATGTTAATAACCATGTCTGCAATCTAAATGAATGGTGTGATTTTGAGCACTTCTATAAACTTTGTGTGTAGTGGGTTAGGGATGGAGAAGTCTCACTGACATTTTTTTTCACATGTAACATTTCTAAAATTGTCTTGAAGTCATTGGCTTGCCAAAACTTAATGCCAGTGTTTTGCTTCCTTAGTGGTTCATTACATAATGATGACTGTTGAAATTGATGTCATTTTTAAACA